TATTAGCCTTTTGAATCTGGTAAATGTGTCACAGTTACGGATAGGCAATTGCAATCTGTTCCACAATAAACTATACCGTACTGTAAATAGCTTACAACGCACTTGTTTTTGGTGTTTTACGTTAAATAGCGTAAATACGTTGTTTCTTAGTCTATAGGCTGGGTTGTGAATCATAGTTGGGCAGGAGGTTATAAATGAGAGTCCATATATCGCTTTGTAGAGAAATATTAAATTATTCTTTAGCCCACGGTGCCATAAAGGTTCTAAAGAGAGGTGTTACATCTATCTGTGTAGTCGGCATTAGAGTTACTTCCTAGCAGTTGGCGTGTGAAGCGTTTTTGAACGTCTTCTACTCTTATCTTGTCGGTGGTATTCATATTAGAGAAGATAAAAGAGCAGTATTCCAGGGAAGGTCGTACATATATTTTATAGAGATAAGCTTAGCCTCTGTTGTGAAGAAATTTCTCATTATGAAACCAATTTGCCGTCTACATTTAGAAATGATAGATGAGGCATGTTTTTCAAAGTTCAGACTTCTTGTGTAAATAATACTTAGATCGTGTACTGATTTGAGTGCCTGGACTCTACTTTTATTTAAATCAAGTTGTAGTTTATAGGGATGCTTTCCAAACTGCATGATCCCGCACTTGTTGAGGTTAAATGGTAATTGCCATTTTTCACTCCAGATAGTTAAATTATTGAGGTCATTTTGGATCAGGGGTACACTTTCGTTTAGGGTCTCACGCTAATAACTGTATACTATCTTGAGATCATCAGCATATAAGTATGGTTTCCCAAATGTTATGGTGTTACATATATCGTTTATATACATAAGAAACAAGAGTGGACCTAATACGCTTCCCTGGATGACTCCACTAGTTGTTGGTCTAGCTGATGAGAGACAGTCATTGTACTTTACGATCTGTTTACGTTCGGTTAAGAACGAAGCAAACCATGAGTACAGTGGGTCGTTTATTCAAGTTGTTGGATTTCTAGCGGTGAGTATTTATCTGCTCTCGCTTTTAGTGCATTGGTCAAAGGTTCGTGATCCGCAAGAGCTATGAAGTCCCTGCCTTCTAACATGTATTGGAAATGCTTAAAGGTTAGGTGGATGCTGCGTTCCCCAGGCCGAATGGTATTCGTACAAACTCGAACAGTCTAAAGGCTGTGATAATAGCTGTCTCAGGGTATCTTATTCAGCTACTGAAATATTGTGATATGCCCGGACCAAGTCAGTTTTAGTCAATATGTTCATAAACTGTACAATGTTTTTAAAATCTTACTTATGCGGTGTTTGGTACTTGTCTGGTACAGTTATATGGTTGGGGGATCTGTAATCCCCTCACAGTCCTCAACCGCTTTCATTTTTCTTCGAGACCATATGCAAAGTAGGTGCCCCGCTGACTATTAGAGGGACGAATAATACCCAGCCATTGTATATAATTTATTTTAAGTTATTTGATCCATGTCTTTAATACGCAAAGTAGTGACAAATCTGGACAGATGATACGGATTTGTTGAGGAAGACATTTGCGCCTGCTCATTTGTAGCCGTAGTTTCTATGCTGCAAACTGACTTCAGAATATTTAACTACATAGTTCACTTCGTCGACCTACACTAAAAATTTAACAGGCTGATATCAGACCATATATATATAAACAATACTCTAACAGCTGCTTTAGTCGGACAACATTTTCGGGACCATTTCGTATTTCCTGGCAGTTTCTGCGAAATTCAGTGTGAGGAATTAGTCTGAGATCACGTCTGGTGATGGCCGGACGTCCTCAAAGCTTGTTACGTTTACGAGTTTAGGACAGAACTGGCTATTATTTTTACCTTAAATGGAACCATAAGCAAAATACTTGTAAGTCCCTACTGATTATACAGAACAGCTCTCAGTAAGTCAAGACGAAAGTCAGTATGTTCTTTAAGATGTTCTTTGCCCGCTGCTTCGAAGTGCAACTTTTCAAGAAAGCTAAATAGATTTTACAGTCCAGGATTTCTCGTACGTATTAAGAGATGATGTAAATAAATGTGGATGGCAATCCAAAACTGGTGGGCTGAACAGAGAATAATATGTTACTGAATTTCTATGTATTTTTACAACTAAGTCAAAGGTTTGTCTTTGAATTACCACCTACTATGTACTTTTTTCATCGGGCTTCACAAATATTTGCCAATATAACGGTAAATATGTATATGTCGCAAACGTTTTTAGACTGCATTTCGTACATAATTTTAGTTTGCACATCATATTAAAAAATTCCGAGGACTCATGCTCTGAATTATTTCCTCTGAAAATCTCAATGTGGTTATGGGACTGAATTCGTTCTACTTGTCTTATAGGTATTTGCCATAACAGGCTAAGTCGATGTCCATTAGTTAGCAGTCTAGCTTCTATCTCGGAAATTGCAACTAATGGACTGCTCTTCTCATGACTCTTAATCATCCATCTAGATGGAAACGTGTATTTCCCTCTCAGATGATTCGGTAATGTACAACTATTGAGATATCCTAGGTTGTAAAAATATTATTAGCAGGCGCGTGAGTATTGACAATTAAGAATAGGCATTTCAAAAATGTTAACTTTGAGTGACAATTATGTCACTGATTCTACGGCTTAGTTGTAGGATTTAGATCAACGTCGGCATTAGTAAACTTGCTTTTGCCTCTAAAACTACAGACTTAATCCTAGAAATCTAGATTCGTTATGATGTAACAACCTTAACTATTAGTTCTTGTGGAAAACACATCATTGTCCATACTAACTCGTCTTCTGGTGAATATTGGTAATAAGGAATGTATTACTTCTGGGGGGCACGTTTAAGATGTGGAGCGAATAATATATTTGGTATGAAAGGGAACACGCTACAAATTGACTATACCTGTGTCGCCAAAACACGATATTCCGATTCAGTGTTCCAGCATTCGACGTTTTAAACTCTTGTGGAGTGTTATGTGTTGAATGTGGATCTCTTCAGTTATTATATGTCCAACTTCGAAGATTACATGGTTAGTAACCTATATCACCACATCACATTCACAATAAAGTCAACGCGATATTGGCTCTTTAAAAAAGGTGGGACGGTTGCGCCAAGGTTATGAAAAGTTTAGTGAGAATTATCTAGATATTGATAACCTAATAGACAAATCAAAAAGAGATAGAAACTAATCGGGATATCGGCGAAATGATCCAAAAATGTATGGTTCAATTCCAAAACGATCAGAATGAATACCCATGTGAAGTTCTTTGAGAGAAAACAAAGTGGGATTATGATGATGAATGATTTAATATAGAGATACCTTAAAAAGTCACACTAAAATGATTGGTAGTAACAGTGATTAGTAGTTTCACTCAGTTGCAGTACTAGTACCTTGGACTTAAAAATAGAAAAAATCAGTTTTAGATATCGGTGATAGTATTATCTTTGATTTATTCTAGAAAGTCAGTCAATGATTTTGACTGTATTCAGTAATACTATCAATCATAGGAAACGTTGTGAAAGTTCTTTTAGTGCGTAAAAATACTGATAATTGTGTGTTTTGGAAAAACAACTGACAGTTTGTTGATAATGAATGCGAAGATGCCACAGGTATTCGTATTTTGAAAACGCTTTAACCAGTAACATCTAATATGAATCGTACCCACCAAATTAAATCAAAAGACGGAAGCGAGGAGGTTCGAAGGTGTATTTGATAGGCTATCAATATATCGCTGATCGTCCGATCTAATCTGGCTAGCGATTGCAATAGATGTTGACCACGGAATTCCCACACATGATCTGGTGCGGATGCATGAATGAGGGTCTTCAGATAGATGAGTCTATTACAAACTAATGTGGTCAGCATCCAATGTCGAAAACTTACAGAGCTATTTATTTAGGGGATTAATTTACCGCTACAAATGCATCTGTGAGAGGCGTTCCATAGACTCAATGTTCTAACGTGCGATAGACCAAGTGATTATATTCAGATTTACCGGTTGATGGTGGATACATGTTACGTGCAAGTACTAAATTTGGAATAGAGCTGAAATCGATTTATTTGAAATGAAGTGATTATAAGTTGTTGAATTTATTTGAAATTGTAGCAAAAAATTATGGGTAACGTCATTTAGTACGCTTTCATCCAAATGAATTCAAGTACAAATATGTTGTCTTGGAGTCGGGAGCTGAGCGACAGGATTACCAAGATAGATAAAAGTAAAATGGACCGCTTAAATTGGACCTGGATATCATGAGCGTATGACTCCGAATTGTTCTTTTCTAATACTTTAGGAAACTTTAAAAGTATTTTCAAATAAATCCCGTGATAAGAAAATTATTATAGGATTATCTACCGAGAAGTATCGATAGAAATACCAGAACAGTTTAACTCAGCATTACTATCGTTAAAATTAATACGGAATAAAGGGAGTTATAACAGGAATAATTAAACAAACTGGAGTACTGCGAGTAATAGGTCGACAATTAAAAAGTGCAACATAAACAAGTACTTTAGCTGAACGCCAGACAAAAAACACTGATAAGTCTTCCAGAGTTTTATGAAATATACATATCTGAAAAAGGCACACATTCGAAAAAGTTAAAATGGCCCAAAACATGCTATCGACCTGAGGTCATTCGAATATGAAGCACCCACTCTAATGCTAGCAGCTTGAGGTCGCTGAAATGAAAAAACGTTGCATTGCGTGCTCGTAAATTTAATTTCTAGTCGTACACCACAACTCTCATGCAACCTTGTGTCATAGAAAAAGAGCTGTTTGATTTTATTTAAGAGTACTGAAAATGTGACTTTTTCGTCAGAAAGTTCTAGTGTAGAGAGCCGTAGTTGGTGACCTTTTTACTCGTGACAAGTAATTGGCATATTGCTCATTGTAGTTTCAGAAACAAGATAGGCTACATTCGTAATGTAAATCGAAACTATTTTTTATATTTCGAATGCAAATCCTGACAAGTAATGCTGACACTTTCTGCATTGAAAATTTTTCTGTTAAGAACGTGCGGGACATATGGTTAGGTTGCTACGATTGGTATTGTTCCATCATGTGAAGAGTTGCAGGTTACTTTTCAGTTCGTCTGCCATAATAATTCAAGTTAGGATCTGCGTCTGTATTTATAAAGACAAATATAAGTTTTAATATCGACTGCAGTTTTTATCATGACCACAATTGTAGCTAAACTGTTGTGGTTTGTTCTCCAGGCTGTCAATCCACCTTAGGTATTGCAATAGCAACATTGCTTCTGCTGGGTAATTGTACTCACAAAGCTGGTTTTTAGCCACATATTCTACTTTCTCACAACAGTTTTACTGAAGTTTTTTTACTAGTTGAGTTAATTATCGCAATTAGCAATCGGCTGTATTAACCCAATTGACTGCATTGAGTCCCACCCACAAATATAAGACAATATGTTAAGCTAACTTACAGATACATTTGTTGTTTCACTAACCTTTGTCTTTATTCGGGGCATCAGTGGTCTACTGCTAACGAACGTGGAAACATATTTTACGCCTGCAAGTATTTGAGTCAAATTGTACGAAATTATCGGGTTATCATGTTTGGCAATCGGCTTCTTATTTTCTTTATATTTTGACTGGGACCTCAAAAGTTGTACTGATAAGGGATGAAAATTGTACATTTGGGTGATAAGTGACATACACGTGGATAAATGAACCCTTTATATTACATCACGTCTGTACAAGATCCAGAATTGTTCTTTAAGTCTATTTTATCACGTTGATAATGCCCTTACAAAATGACTGAAATGCAAGTGTTCATATTCAGATACCCCAAATCCTAGATGATTTCGACGTCGTCATTAACAAAACATTTAGACTGAAAGTGATACAATATGGATAGTCAGCTTAATAGCCTCACATTTATCCTGTTCGTACCTCGTGTTACCTGTAATCTTTTATGTGTGTATTCTAGGTTTTTAATTTGAAGATATAAATGACAATTTCTTTTCAACTACCGATTACAGGCTGTTATAATTAATTATGTGTCTCAATCACTAACCATAGTAATTTTTAATTAGATTGTAGTTTGCAGACCTCTTGATGGTGCTAAGAATGTGTTAGTTACTGCGCTGACTACATATACGTCACTAGCGAATTTAGAACTATGTATACAACTTAGTTTATTTGAAGTATCCAGACTCATTTTAATCTTGAGTGGTTCACTTTGATGTTTTCGAGTGCGTCAATTTTTGTGTTTTAATATTTTTCGAAGTAAAGTAAGCGTTTGGTTTTCAGAATCATAGAAGCAAAGTAATTAATCTCGAGTTTCATCAAAGTATCTGGAATTTCGGCTCACTTATCAAGTTCAGGTATATGTACTGTGCCTCAGTCCACACTATGGTGCGTAGATTTACTATCTGGCTTCCTTGACGAAAGTAGGTCAAGTCTGGGTTATTATCTGAGATCTAATTGTTAAAAGTCTAGTGCTTTTTATACATTTGTCACTAGCTTCTGTGCTTAGGCAATTAGTTTCAGGTAACTATCTTTGTATCAGTGTGGAAGTTGCTAGAAAAAGCCTTCAGGTGTTTCCGGTAGTTTTGCAGGGCTGTTGGTCAAACAAGTCGATTAAGCGCCACATATATTTGATGATTCATATATTTTTATCATTTTGGTATCTCCTGAATAATAATAATGGATCCACTGCGATTGTCTTGACGTTCATGTTTTTCTAAGTTAACATCAATACAAAGTATCATATTAAAGGCATACTATCCATTGCTAGTATCTTTTATTTTCCTACCATCAAAAGTAATTTGTTTGTGATGTCATGGTTATTTTGTTGTTCTGAAGTATGTTGAGATATCATAAAAGTCCTAAACTCTCCTAACAAAGTCTCACTTTACACCCAGAGTGGATATTTACTGGCTTTTATTGTCTGGTACATGGCTTGAATATGATCTATATAAATAAATCTCTATTGTCTTATGTAAACTAAGTATCGTTATCTACATATTAATGCAATAGGGCTCCATAATATTTATATGCGCCACACAAATAGCTGAATTTGTGTGTAGGCTAGAATACTCCTCAGGTGCCCAAATCGAAACGGATGACTTCATAAGGGAGCATTTTATCGAGCGTTTGATCCATAGCACTAACCCACAAGACAGTGGGGCGACTTTTAAAAATGCGGTACACTGGTTACCGGTTACCAAAAATGAGTTCATATCTCATTGGTTTGAAATCAGGATTTCCCACCTCCACCGTAACCACCAACCCGATTAGGCCACCTGACATTGACCTTTCATAAACAGCGCTCCGGTTGCGAGAAGGAAAACAGCAAGACTTCCCTACTCTGGCAATAAAAGCTGTTATATAAGAGCATTTCGAGGAGAGTAGACTTGCCACAGTCTCCCCCGTACCAGAGCATTTAGGGTCTGATTTGTATGTTTGGTAAATTATATTCTCATTACCATTTATCATAACGATTGTGTTAAGATTATTCTTTAAATAGTCGCAGGTCAGTCAACTACAACGTAGGACCAGACACATATATGTATCGGTCCAAGTTGCCACACCGCATAAGCACAACAAGATGAACACCGGATTCATAGAAGTAGTTGATTCAGTGATGGTAATATATAAAAGAAAGATTGCATATAAGGATATAGTGCATGAAGAACGAATTAGTTAGTAGAAGGAAAGATATAAAGCGATTTCAATCTCACGGTTTAAGGGAAGACAGTGAGTGTATACACCTATGCTATTGTGATTGATTCTGAGCCATGTCACCAACAGTCTCCAACCATTGGTTACGATAGTTGCGCAGATCCCAACCAAGTGGTCTGCATCTACCAATATGGCTAAGAATAGAAGTTAATGACTTCAAGGACTGATGCCACGTTTTGGTTTGACAGCCCCTAACTTTCTTCCAACCGTCCCCAACACTAATCACCATTGCGCGTCGTGATAATCGGTATTCAGGTATACGTAACACATGGCCCAACCATCTCAGTCGATGAAGATTTACAACCTCATCAACTGATTTACCATCATTCCCCAATACCCTGCGTCTAACCTCACCATTACTTACCCGGTGATCCCAGCAGATGCGAGCAATATTTCCAAGACATCTGTGATCAAACACTGGTAACTTACGAGTATCCTCTACTCTTAATGGTATGGCCCTGGTATGGCCGAGAGCGGGGAGGGTTCGCCCTCCCTCTCGAAATACTCTCACACGGCCACGCGTATACAGCCTCTGCCAGGGAAGTCCTACTCACTGCCTTCACGTGGCGGGGGTGTTGTTTACGAAAATGAGAGGACGAAAAGCGAACGTCCGGCGCTATAACCGGATCCCAATTCTATGGTGCACATGGGCTCCAGTATCCTGAAGGAACAAATGGCGTATGAACCAACTTTTGGTCACCGGCTTCCATGGGACTGCATCTCCTCACGATGCTCCACTGCCTTGTGGGTTAGACCTTTAGGTCAAAGGCTCGGGGTGTGGCCCCCTAAGAAAACCACCTGCTTCGGTATGGGCACCCGGGCAGTATCTCAGCCCACACACCAAAACATGATGAAATATTCGCTTACGGAAAATATTCGTTCTTCTCTGACTAACATTGAAATGACTGATACTATTATTATTATTATTATTATTATTATTATTATTATTATTACTTACTACGTCATTTACTCACTATCTCCTATTTCTACTTTTTGTATCCGTTTCGACCCAGACAGCAGCTCGCCTATGGTAAAAATTCAGCTTTATCTAAACGTTCTCGAGTCACTGCCTGGTTTGAAAATTGTATGTTACCATCGAATACGAGTACTGAAGCAGTCTTTCTGAAACCACGCGCACCATTCAAACTGGCTGCCAACGTCATGGAATGAGTCGATAGTTGTCCCTATCTTTAAAAAGGGTTCACGTTGTTCCTGTAACAACTATCGGGGGATAAGTCTACTTCCGATTGCGTCCAAGCTATTGGCTTCCGTCATACTTCGTAGGTTGTTCAGAACCCGAGAAGGATTGACTCGCGAGGAGCAGGCTGGGTTTCGTTCTGGTCGAGGATGTATTGATCATATCTTCACCCTCCGCCAAGTGTTAGAACACCGCCATACTTATCAAAGGCCAACAATCGTAGTGTTTCTTGATATCAAGGCTGCTTTCGATTCGTTGGACAGAACTGTTCTCTGGGATTGTCTATTGAAGAAGGGTGTGCCTGAGAAGTTTATTAACATCCTAAAAGCCTTATATACAAACACCTCAGGTAGAGTGAGGGCATACAACCACCTTTCTCCACTATTCCATTCAAGCAGTGGAGTTAGGCAGGGTTGCCCAATCTCACCATTCCTCTTCAACTTTGCCATCGATGACATTCTGGAAACAGCTCTGACGGATGTAAGTAATGGTGGTGTGGATCTGTTGCCTGGAGAAAGACTTCTCGACCTTGAGTATGCGGATGATATTGTCTTACTGTGCGAGAATGCCCAAGCCATGCAATCCGCACTTAATCAGTTGGCAATCAGTGTCCGTAGGTATGGTATGTGCTTTGCACCTTCGAAGTGCAAAGTACTTCTACAAGACTGGCAGGATTCTAATCCTGTACTCACTCTGGATGGTGAGCAGATTGAAGTAGTCGAGAAGTTCGTGTATCTAGGTAGCTGCATAAGTGCTGGTGGTGGCGTGAGTGATGAGATCAATGCACGTATAGTGAAAGCCAGAGCGGCTTATGCCAATCTGGGCCATCTTTGGCGCCTTCGTGATGTTAGTCTGGCTGTAAAAGGTCGGATCTACAACGCGACGGTGAGAGCAGTTTTGCTCTATGCTTGTGAAACCTGGCCTCTCCGAGTTGAGGATGTTCGACGACTCTCTGTGTTCGATCATCGTTGCCTCCGAAGGATTGCTGGCATCCAGTGGCAACACCATGTCAGTAATGCAGAGGTTCGGCATCGAGTGTTCGGTCACAGAGACGATAATGAAATTGGTGTCACCATCTTGAAACACCGACTTCGGTGGCTTGGACATGTTCTACGAATGTCGTCCCAGAGAATTCCTCGTCGTGCATTATTTGCCGACTCTGGGACCGGTTGGAAAAAGCGGAGAGGTGGTCAGTATATGACATGGTGTCGTGGTATGAAAGAAAGCTGCAAAGGGCTAGCTTATGTTGGTCCTTCACGACTCCCTGGTTGGGGTCCGAGAGATGGTGTAACGCAGTGGCTAGAGACGTTATCAGATATGGCTCAGAATAGAAGCCAGTGGCGATCCTGCTGTAACCTTCTTTTACTTTCTTCATAAAAAGGTGGTCGTATTCTTCCTTAACTGAAAGATCTGTTCTGATTGTACCTTTCCGTTTCCCCCACCATTGTTCTCTCTCTCTCTCTTCTTTTTTTTTTATAATTCCCCACGTTCATTACTTTTTTTTTTTTCTTCTCTTTTCTCCTTCTCTTCTAATTATCACTGTTTTGTGTGGCGCATATATATTTGGTGCCCCCCTGTACCAATATTTATGTGTTCAAATAAATAAATAAATAAATAATGGTCACGTTTCGCAAGTGTAGAGTAGAACAGAACTAACTACCACACAGTATACTCGTCCTTTTATTGATAGACGGATATCTTGCCTTCTCCATAAGTGACGTCAGTTGGCAAAAACTAAACGTGTTGATATGTGGACCTCCTGGAGGGAGATGGATTCCTGAAAATTCATACGACGAGAGCGTTATTTTCAGCATTAGGTCTATGTTGAAATTGAACAGTTATGGGGATCGTATGTAACCTTGCCGAACACCACTTGAGGTTGTGAAATCAGATGACCGTTCGCCATATGCACTCACTCGACTAGTAGTGTTCGAGTAAAGAGCTTTCACAAGGTTTATGTACTTCTTAGGTGCACCTTAAAACTACACACTGCCACAGAGTCAATCGCTGCCTCTAAATCAAGAAGAACTATCATTGTCTGATGCCGATAATAATGTCTGTGTTCTAAAACCTGATAAAAGGTGAATATGTGATCGATCGACACCACGTGAGGTTGAAAAATTGTCGTAAACAATTATAGAAGAGCTCACAGTTGCATTACATGTGGTTTAATGTTTGTCATACTTCATGTAGGATTGCATATCATTACATTGATATATAAGGTTCTTATGTTTTGGCAGTTAGGAGTCTTCAGTTGCTTGATTCTAAGTTTTTCATGAACCAGACCTATTCATCGAAGATTTATTTTATTGTAAGCACTCAATTTATACACACTTCTGACTAATCTTAACAAATTTGTTTGCAGCCATGTATATATATATATATATATATATATATTCCTACATTCTTTCCACTTTTTATGCTAGATCTTTATATGTACAGTTTGAATTTCCAAGTTATCTGTTACCCAAGAAAAATCCATTACCTTCATTTTACTGTTTGGTGATCAACAGAATGGGAAATATATGTAATTCTCTCTGTCCTCAAAATGTTAACAGATGTTATTCAACCTCTGAATTCGATGCTCCAATTCATGATTCAGACGTAAAACTTTTATGTGAAAATGAAGCCGTACCTATATCAGTGGAAAACAATAATGATGACAGTGATGAACATGTAATAACTGTTGTACATAAAGAATCAGTTTCAAAGCATAAAGAGAAATCAAATAACACTACTCCTGGTCAGCTGAATTCTATATCTTCTCTGCAAGGTCCGAAAGTAATAAAAGAGTATGTAAAATTTCCTTTTCTTACGGATAACGAGATGGGAAATTGGATTATTAAATCTCGGTTCATGTTTATATTACGTGGACCACCTGGTTCGGGGAAATCCTTTGTGTCTGAGTGCATCCGAATTCGTTTTCCCATGGCTAAGGTGGGTATGTTTTCATCGAAAGTGTATGTTTCACTGATTGTTGTAAATGGATACAAGTTTGTGCTACGTTATATGTTGTTTAACTGATTATGTTTCTTTGGTAGGTGGCTTTCTGTTCAGGTAGTTTTATCAAACCATTAAAACTGCATTAAAGTGTGTTAAAATCTTTATATGACATTGTTACTCCTATTGGTTGGTATTCGGGCAGTACTTCATTCGACTAGTCCCCGATTCAGAACACAATTGAACAGAAACGAAGTTATGCTCTAAATTATAAAATTGGACGGGAGTAGAATTCACTGTAAAATAGGTTACTACACTTTTTACTTTACACGAGAGGATTTTAGAATCTTCTCCAATTATCCGATAGCACTGATTAGCTAAGAAATAGCTAGTCAGCATGCTCCAACACGAACATGCTGCAATCCATTCTATATTTTGTCAACAAAGAACTTATCCCATTGTTTTTCAAACCACTCAGGATTCATTCAAACTTTTATTCTTACTGGTCAAAAAGTCATATCTGCATCAATGTAATCAGTATTGGGAACTGGCCAAGATTCATAGTGTCTACAGCTGATATACGAATGGGATGGGGAGGACTTTTGAATTAGAGTACACCTTTTTTAAGATTAGTCGAGGCAGTCTGCTTTGTGATAATTTTGTCACCAGAACCGCTTAGCTTTGGATATCTCCTTGGTCCTCAGGATAGTAAAAATGAGAGTGTTCACATAAAGAAATGTCGAAAGAGCTATGGTTTATTTATTGCAACTGATTAGCTTTTAAGTCTGATAGTTATGACCAATGAATTCGGAATTATTTACATGGAGTTTCCTGTGTATTTCTATAAAATATGACAACGTACATTATTATCACTGTGTCTAACTACATGTATGTAAATTGATGTCCATCTTTGTGTTTACATCTTTTTTACAGATCTTTTCTGCAGATGATTTCTGGTATTTAGAATCCGACGGGTGTGAGTACCAATTCGACATCAGTCGATTGAGTGAAGCTCACGAGTGGTGTCATAATAATGCTTATAATGCTGCTTGTTCTGGGTACAGTCCAATAGTTATTGACAACACAAACACAAGAAGTTGGGAAACACGTTATTACACAGATATGGCTCGTCGTTTTCATTACTTTGTAATCATGGTCATTCCACAAACACCATGGCGATTTGATGCGGAAACTTTAACTATGCGTAATGTACATTTCGTCAGTTTGGATACAATTGAAGCTAAAGTCCGGAATTTCGAACATATCTATCCATTGTATTATGGTTGGTTTTGGTCAGCACCGCCGAGTGAACCATATTCAAAACTTGACATCTCAGATACTTCACTAGACATAGTTAGTAGACCAGGTAAACGGCGTAAAAGCTCTATTCACTCAAACCCATGTATGGAAGTGAATCGGTTGCTTAAATGGGGATGGGATGCTCTTAATACTATTATAGAATTACCCGGCGTACGTTATGAATTAATAAATGCTTTTGGTCTACCCCAAGGTTGGTTTTGTTTTTATTGTCACTGTTAAGATGTTTCATCATGATTTTAGTTCAAGGTACTCCTTTTTCTTAGACTTCATAATTCTTGTATATGTTATGTCTCATACACATTTAACAAAGAACGCTTCACATGCCTTACTTTATTTTACAAGCTTCATTCTTTTATTATTTATCTACCAGGAGATTCACATGTTGGCTTACACTACTCAGACAGTTTAGTTCTGTCTGGTGGAGGTGCTGGAAAAATGCAGTTTCCCGATCGTGTTAAGCAACAATAAAAATATGTTTAGGATGCGGTTCTAGACCTTCAAATGCGAATTATTTTTTTCAATATTGTTTTACTTTATCGCCTGATATAATAACAGAGTAATGTAGTTGAGTGCGTCGACTGCTTTCACTTATCTTAGCAGTTCCAATGGTTGTGATTTGCTTTTGTGTGGAGAAATTTTGGCACGCGTTCAGACGTTCGACAACTTGTATCGCTTGTAGCGTAGGCGAGAAAGCCGTCTTCTAACCAAACAACGGGTGTGCTGAACATTACTTTGCTCTCTATTTATGGGTGCAAAACAGTTATTAAGAATAGGGGATATTCATCGGTTGCTTGTATTCGGTCACAGATGTCTTCGTAACATTTCTCATCATTCTTGCGACCACCGGGTTAGAAGTTCTGAGGTTGAACTCAGAGTACTAGGTAAGTATGACGTGTCACTTGATGGGGTTTTGAATGTTTATTGACTGAAATAGTTAGGACATGTATTACATATGCCCATATGCTGACTACCTTGAAATGCGATAATGGCCAACGTAAGAGTAGGTTGGAAGAAAGCTAGGGGCGGTTAAACTAGATATGGAACCGGTTCATGAAGTCATCGGCAATTGGACTGAGCCATGTTAATTATTGTACAATATATGGTTGGGGTTTGTGTTACAATCGTAACCAATTGTTAGAGACTTTGGGTGTTATGGCTCAAAATTGTCCGCTATAGAACAGGTGCTTTTACTGTCTTCCGTTAGAACCTGGGCTGTGAAATATTGTAATTCTTTTTTTCCTTATCTAATCTTTTTCACTGCTACCACTAATGTTTTTACTATTTCAAATACTCTGGAGTTTGTTTTGAAGTAATTTTATCATCTTTTGCTAATAGTATGTGGTTACTCTGACCGATGCACGTTTGTCAGGTTCTACGTTGCAAACGATTGACCAGTGCAAATTAAACCGACATACCACAATTGTCTTAGTGTTTTCATTTTACTAATTAACTGTATTCATTATTCGTCTTGATATTTATTAGGGGTTAATTGTTCACTTATTCATTTTCAGAACTACTTAGCATAGTTACATCATTCTCTTCTATTTGCTTTGATGTCGTTTCTAATTAAGAAGAAATACTAAGTATTAAATAAGTATCTCATACAATTAGGCATTAGTTGGCAGTATTTTATTGTGAAGAAATTTTTGCCGGGTAATTTCACTCGTAAGAAATTTGTTTGACGATGAATCATCGTAATTTTTTTCCACGTTTAACTATACTCCAAAATTGTCCAAATATTGTGAAACTATTCGTTCAAATTTAGACGATAGTTCTTATTAATTGCTTATTGTTTTTTGGCACTATGTAATTATTTATAGTTTTCATGTGATGACTTTGAACTTATGTTAACAGTAATCAGAGTATTTCAAAAGCTGAATAATTGCACATTTATTATTTTATTTATTAGATGCGACTGTACATGATGTAATAACTCATTGGGAATCCGCTACAATACCTGACTTTGGGACAGGTTTGAAAACTTGCAACACACCTGGTATTCCTCATGTAACAGCTAAGTTTTCTAAATATGGTCGAGCCTTCGGTGCAGAACATTATGCTCTACGTAGATCTGTGAGTGAAACTTTACTGGGGAAGTTATTCACAGTACAAATTACCGGATTAGTGATCACTCCACGTACAATAGGTGCTAGGGTTAAACTTCCAAATGATGAGGTTATTCGACATCTCTGGGCTGCCGACGATCAAGAAGTTGTATTCCCAGGTTTGTACATTAATTTCTCTTATTTTTATCTTATTTCATGAACTGTTTGAATACTCTGTAGGTTGAAAATTTATAAATTTCTAACAACAGTAACGGCATTGTGAATCATCTACAATAATTTGGATGCTGTTCTTTTATAGTGCTAAACTTTAACAGGTGATGATAGAGCGGTCCAGCTGAAGGAAGTTTTCTCAGTCAAATTTTTTACAAGGATCTCAGTGTCTTTATTATGTTGTTTCTTCAGCTTAAGTTCTCATGCGTTGAGCATTTAATGTTTTCCTTTTTTGTACACTTTCACCATCAAAATGATGTTTGTTTTTCTTGCAAACTTAAAACAGTAGAACAACATTTACAAAACCGGCTGAAATTATTCGCCACCATGCTGATGACTGAAACAGAATTTTCCAAAGAGCCATATAAGATTGATCTAAATAGATTATTAGATTTTGAATACTTCGGAAACCTGTAGAAATCTGGACGTTCAGTTATAATAGTCTTTAGAGCATAGAAATCCTTTTTGGTTATAACCTTTACATGTATAGGTATTATTACCAATGTTTAACGTGATACTACAGATAAATTGACTACTATTGGATAGATTGTTAATAATTAAACTAATGATATATTTGTAATATCTTAATGAGTAGAAAATAAAATTCCTGACGTTTCGTGACTTTGTTTAATCTACTTCTTCAAAGTCATGAATTTTATTTCCCATTCATTGGAAGATTACAAATATATCATTATTTTTATTACTTATATTTATAATTTTTATAAGGCTGGAGATAATTTGATGAGACGTCGGCTTTAAATTTACGTCCATAACATCTATGCTTGAATCTCTATTATGTCTAAGGACAATAACATTTTATCCGCTTCTTACGTTTTCCTTTAATTCTTTGAAATTTTGAATATCTCTTTTCCTTAGCTGAGAATTGTAAAATTAGTGGTCATTTGGGACTTATTTCTCCCTCACCGAATTCTATGTACCTCTCATGGTTGTATGGTTGAATGAATAACAACTGGAAAGGATTGCGCAGGACAGGGTAGGATGGAGAGTGCTAATGGGCGGCCTGTGCTCGTCCACGACGAGTAACAGGCGTAAGTATGCTCATGCTTGTTACAGAAACTCTCAAATTATAAATCAGAACTTTTGACATAAGGGGATAGGGAAGTTCAAAGTAAAAATTCTTCCTTAAAAACAGAATCCTATCGGTGATAAATTCATCACGTAATTGTCTTCATAGTGAGAACAATTTCATTGTGGATATTCCGCTTGGTTAAATAATGTAATCTCTAGTTTTGTGAAAGAATCTAGGTTACAATGGGGTTGATGCGGTAGTAATCTTTCACTGCCTGAGTTGATGGGACATCTATTGCGTATGCATGGCCACCGCTTATCTCGATGCATCATGTTGACTGATGTAGAAGCAGGTTGGAAGGAAGCTAGTAGGAGCCAGACCGAAACTTAGGTTCAGTCTATGAAGTCATTGACAGTTCAACTAAGATATGTTAATAGGTGCAAACTACCTGGTTGTGACCCATTCGACTTCCATAACCGGTTGTTCAAGATATTGTATGACATCGCTCAAAACCGGTCAGTGGTATAGATGCCTTCACCGTATATTTTCCCACGAATTCATTCTCACTTCCCAAATTTTATTGTATATTCATACTTTTCCCTACTATCCTCTGATACTGTCACTACTTCCACTCTGCTTATATTGATAAGTTCAACTCTCTGTGCTGATATATGACAAACTGAACCAATTCACATATGTTCCCAGGTTTTACTTTCGAGTTACCTGGCTGACTTGTAAAGTAATGCATTATAAATGTCTTCATCACAGACATTTTCAGTGCTTTGACACCTGTCGTATCCAGAATCCAAGCGCCTTATGGATAACTTGACGATCCATGAATCTAATTACCCATCAAATTCTATATCATCGATAAGTCGATCATGTACACGCTTGGCAAAGCGGTTGATGAAATAGCTAAATACAATACACAGACAATCGATCAATGTTTTTAATCTGATTACCACTACAAAAATATTTATTGTAGACTTATAACTGGTTATGTCGACTTCTGTAAAGTTGCATCAATCTGGGCAAGCCTAACCAATTATTAATAGATATTTAATAACTGCAGGTGTACTTAGCACAACCCTAATACTATCTAATTTAGTCAGTAGTAGATTTTTTAATTGTCTCCCATATGTTCTGAACTTTTTTATGTATTCCGACGTATGAGTGGTTTTGATTATTTTAGTCTGTATAGTTTTCTACTGTTAAAAATTCCTCATTTTTATACTTCTTTTCTGATAGGTAATATTGGTATAATGCCTGTGAATCGTCCAACTGGTTGTCGTGCTCATGTTACATTGGCTTTAGCAACTGGTGTATCCCCATCGGAAACAGGTCTTGATTTACTACGTGTTGTAGACATGGAGTTGAACAATCGGCCAGGCGATCATGTAGCAATTATTAAAAATGGTTCTGTTCGTCGACTTGTCATTCCAAAATTACATTGTAATACGTCACCTGAACACTGTTTAGTAAAGGTACCAAATAACTCAAACCATTCACGTAATAATAATAACTTTTACGTTAATGATATCTCATCAGTTCCGCTCTCAGATTGTGAGACTATTTATGTGTACGATCTTGATTTTCCTCATCACTACCGTGTTACTTTTGCTGCTTCATATTGAGTTATCCTTTCATAAGTTTCCATTACGTCATAATTAATTGTCAATATCTTCTTGCCTATCTGCCTTACTTTGAATCGGTTCAATTACCTGTATACATACATATACGCATAATACCTTAACTTATTTGTTTCCATTAATTCAGTTTTTACATTTGTTCATTTTATCGGATTTGCATATTTTCTCTTTGTCACTTTGTACATGGATAAATCAACATTTGTAGCAAACATTTTGTCTAGTCTTGTATTTGTACCGGATTATACTAATTGTTGAAATTTATTCATGCTATTGTAACTATGACCGCTTCTAATCTGCTAGTATTATTTAGTAGTTGGTTATGTACTTATCGTCTTATAACCGGCCGAAATCGTTATCCGAATGATTAATTTCTTGTAACTGTTTATTTTTTCATGCTGTAATACTTGTGAAATTCTATAAAATCACAAATGAAAACTGGTATATATATATATATCATATATTACGGTTCATTGTTTAATGATGAATTTACTATGGCGAGTTCATTTTCTTTCTTACCATGACATGTGGTATCTAAGCGTATAAGATACAATACCCGATGTAAAATTTATATATTCCCACTGTGTTAATTTTCTTGTAATAATTCATTTTTGCATTGACTACTAAATAATAGGGTCTTAATTCACCGAAGAGAGTGCTTGAAAGGATATGGAAAGTTATCTTAGTTAATAATACGGTCCAAACTGTCATGAATAGAACTTGAATTCTTCCATATATTGCTTCGTTATGGTTACTTATCCATATTTAAATACTATCTATATAAACGACCAGAATAACTTTCCGAAATTGAGAGGACTAGAATCTTCTCATGTAAATGCTATAAGCATACTAACGTTTTTACTGTGATTCGTACTTTCATCCAACCGTGTTCTTATTTGGGGACTTGTCGAGTAATGTCCAACAATACTAAGCCATACGAGTAGCTGGGTCATAGTATGAGAAATTATAACGAAGCGCAAAACTTTCCAATTCTCGATAATTCTTCAGCTAATGTCAATGATGAAAACCATCTTCATGTTGTACAAATCTTTCCACAAAACTAATAAATTTAGGTAAATCAACAGTTACTGGCGCGTTTCCATGTACAGCCAAACTAACAAATCTAAGATTTACGTGTAAAGAATTTCTTTTGTTTATCGAAAAACTGTATAATGCATATTAGATTAATCATATCAGAATATATTTTAATGCTTATAATTAATTAAGCAGTAGGTATTACACGTTTATGGGGTTAGTAAATATCACTTTCCACACTTGGGATTACAGAGCTTTTTAAAATAAAGGTATCGTGTGAACCTTGAAAACTTTCCGTTTTAATCACGAAGTGAAGTTAATATCGAGTAAGAAATAGACTATCACTTATTAGTTAAAGTAAAATACGAAGCAAAGATTGAAACATTATTGGGTCAGTGAAATAATTAGTGACAGAATAAAACGCGATCTACTTAAATATTGATAAGGCAATGATTTTTGGCACAAGAATTAATCGTGTTAATTATTTTGATATAGTAGGAGTGTTTACATTGTTTCCTGTGAGAATTAAATAGTTAACTACTATCTTGGACAACAGAGTTCTTTAACAAACGTCCATCGCACTGTTAATATGCACACCCTTCTATTCTCATGAAATACTGCGTTCAACAAATAAATATGGATTGTTATTGCAGAATTTTGTCGACTTCGTGGGGAAAGTATTACGCCAATAGGCGTGCATATTAATAAAGTTGATCAGTAAAAAAGCGAATAAAATTTTTACTGTGTGAAACATGTCTGCCTTACCCTTTGTTCCTTTGATTTATGACTAATCAGAAACGTACTATCCTACACATATGATGAAGAGTTTACTTTCAATAAATACTGATAAATATTAATTTTTCGAATTCGGCAACAAATTGCTATCACCCTAGTCATATTATCTCGTACGTCCATTACGAACAACTAGGATATAATTTATTAAACGTGATTTTTGTTCCTGTTGCATTCCCTGCAGATCCAGAGTTTGTTAGACAGTTTCAGGTGACCGAAAATGTAAAGGTCATAAAGTTGAATACAATTAGGTATTTTCAGTGAAAATATACTGATATATAAAACAAATTTGTGTATAGTTGTTTGAGAATAAATATTTGATTAGATTTCAGAATAAAACAATGATGTATAAAGTCAAACACTTTTAATAAATTATATCCTAGCTGTTCGTAATGGACGTACGAGATAATATGACTAGGGTGATATCAATTTGTTGCCGAATTCGAAAAATTAATATTTATCAGTATTTATTGAAAGTAAACTCTTCATCATATGTGTAGGAAAGTACGTTTCTGATTAGTCATAATTTAAAGGAACAAAGGGTAAGGCAGACATGTTTCACACAGTAAAAATTTTATTCGTTTTTTTACTGATCACCTTTATTAATATGCTCCCTTTTGAATGGATATGCTCCAATTTTTAAAATAATTTCCTATGGAAACGATCTTAGAAAATGGGGCGCTATTGAGAAAGAAGCGTCAACCTTTTGATGGTTATTTGTATAGATTCATCTCTCATGAATCTTACCAGTAGAAATACTCTCTTGGAATACATGGGGGACATTTTTTCAGGACTATATAATTTAAATCCAACTGATCCTCTTTGTAATATCCATTTCAGACTGCCATTAAATTTAGAACCATGCTAAATGTTAATTCACTGGGACACGTCATTATTGTACAACCTTCACATTCGTCTAGAGGCCTTTAAGTTAGGTAACTAGACGTCACTTATGGGCCTTGAATTCCTCAGAACGAATGAAAATCCTTAATTATTTCATAAAATTTTCTGTATAATCAGAATATGGATTAATCTTATACCAGTGTGCACAAGTGAAAAAATATTCGTAAATAAAGATAACTATATTGTAAGTAACATATATACAATCCGGGAAATAAAATAATGTACAAAAGAAACTAATTAATTTACTAAGAAAAGAAAATGATATGAAATATAATGAAGTGAATCGCATTTACTGAGTTTTCTTACCTACATAGGTAAATGAAACAAAAAAAAAAAAGAAACTGGAAGCAATTTCGATGTAAACTTAATCAATGTCTGACAAAAAGAGTACTTTCGACGGCACCATACAATGAATTTCATTATCACAAATATGAACGTCACTAGATTTAACTCTTTTATTACCAGACTTTAAGATATTCTGTTCATTAAATGAAGATAATTGGTTGCAGTGGCTCGGTGAAGACGAAGTGCAAACAACCGATGAGGGTGAGGACGACGATGTTGACTCTAATCCATCTGAACTGTTGACTGTATTTGTCCCACAAACAGCTTCTAAATGTTTTATTCTGAAAAGTAGCATCAACAAATAATAAGAGTGATAACAAAAATAAAAAGCACTCGTTTGGAATCAATGAAAATGTTTCAGTGTCTATAATGTATTCCAGTTACCTTTAAGTGAAATAAAGATAGTATGAAAAAAAAAATGACACCTTACATGACTGATACATGTGTAGAGACTAACAAAACTTGCTTTGAATTTGTAAAATCAATCAATAGGATGTCAATTATTTGAGTTACATAACCGCTAGAACTTGAGAGTACCTCCAGTCTCAGACAAGATCCAACCCTATAGCATAATATTCAGCACCACACCGAATTGTTGAAAACATTACTGTGAGAAAATCAATCACTATTTATACATTTGGAATATTTGTTATATATGGATTGCCGTGGTAGCCAAACATAAACAAATTCTACTCACTATAATTCACCTCTCCTAAAAGTTAATCCAGAGAAGGAATGTAAAATTTTCTATCATATATTTGTTAGATTCAAAAGCCCACAAGTTCCCTGGTACGGCTGAGAGTGAGGGAATCAGCTCTCTCTCTCTTAAAATACTCTCACATGACCACGTATATACAACCACTGCCACGGAAGTCCTACTCACTGCCTTCTCACGACAGGAGTGTTGCTTACGAAATTGAGAGAACAAAAAGCGAATGTCCGGTGCGTTATCCGGGTTGGTGGATATGGAGGACCCACCTAGAAAAATTGGAAAACTATGATTCCAAACCAATGGTGCGCATGGGCTCCAGTGTCGTGAGGGAACAAAAGGTATGTGAACCTGTTGTTGGTCATCGGCTACCATGGGACTGAATTTCCTTTCGTTGTTCCACTGCCTTGTAGATTAGACCTGTAGGTCTGAGGCTCGTGGAGTGGCTTCCTAAGAAAACTACCTGCTTCGGTTTGGGTGCCCGGAAAGTATTCTATTCCTCACACAAATCGAATGATGAAGTGTGGTGCATATATATTTGGTGCCCTCTTCTACAAATATTTGTTTTAGATTTAAAAAGCGAGACAAATAAATAGTTATTATCGGTTAGTCATATGCGGTGTGAAACTTGGTATTATAGATGCACTGGCTACATTTACCAGACCATATCAGCACAGTGGGGTGAAATTATCAAAACAATTTTCGACTCTTTAACACTAAGAGTATCAGTAGTAGTTGAGCACATTGTGTCTCAGGAAGCAGGAATGAATCCACGGAATAAAGAAGGGTACAAGACAGTTTCGGAACTTAATATGTAAGGGAAAACAAATAGTATATGTATCTATGCCTTTGAGACCGATTCTGAGCCATGTCACTTAACAGCTCCATCCACTGTTTATTACAATCGCGTGGATCACAATCAATCAGTTTTCACCTACTAATACGGCTGTCCAACGGTTGATGATTATTGTGAATAATATTTATGCCATTACTGAAACTTTGGTAATAAATTAACGAACTGCAATGTGGACAAACGAATAAGAAGCCACTGAAGCTAAAAGAGAAAATGGACACGGTCATTTGGCTATTTATGGAAAAAATGTTGAATTTAACTTTGGACAAAATAACTTACATAAGCGAAAAATATTGTTTTCGATTAGATCCTCATCAGGCTTTACTCTAATATACAGTAATATTTATATGCATATACGAAATCATTAAACCAAACAAGGTAGTTTATGAGAAACTTAGTCAAATGTTTGGCAAATAGAGCTATTAAGATATGTTCAGTTGACATAATTGATACGGAATTAGAGCAAATTCATAATATGTTGATTGAAACGGGATATCCACAGGGTTTCTGGAACAAACACTTGCGTATAACAAGCAAGAAGATAGCGACAATAACTGCTAATAAGAAACCTCTTTTCTTGAAGGTGCAATTCAATGGTGATGTAGCTAGTGATGTATTACGTGATAGACTGACTAGAGCAGTCAAGAGGACGTTTAATGCTGCCAACCTCTGCCTATCGTATTCGACCCGATCTATGGTGATTCCCCAACTGAAGGACAAGTTACCTGGCTATGCCACTTCTATGTGTATCTATGAATTCAGCTGCTCCTGCGGAAAAAGCTACATTGGGCGCACTACCAGGCAACTGAACCAGAGTTAGTGAACACCTCCCATCGTGGTTAGGAAAAGGTTACGTAAAGACAATACGCAGCTCAGTTCTATCACACCTAATCGATAGTGGTCATATAGTGGACAGAAACAAATCATTTAAAGTTATTTATCGTATTCCCACTAGTTTCCCTTATGGTGTTCGATTTCGTCTCTTACACATAGCAGAAGCTATAGGAATTCGAGCAAACAAGCCGAGTCTTTGTGTTCAGAAGAAATTTGTAACACCCTTATCTCTCCCTTGGCCTTAATAAA